GTGTTATCATAAAATATTTTCTCTGAACACTAAGACATCACACTTTTGTTCCATCCTCATTTCTGAATGTAGTATGATTTTATCTGCTTTATTCTATATTTTTACTTTTGTTTAATAAAAACATAAGCATAATCCTACAGTAGAAAAAAAAAGATTGAAGTACAAATACAGTAGTAGGAAATCACATGTTTTCTCTTATTTATGGAAACCGATGGTTAACATTTGTCCAAAATAAACCTCACTATTTAGGGAAGAAATTCTATCTAATGAATTTATTTGAAAGGCAGTTTGATAATATGTGTCTGAATCTGTGGGCTATTTTGGAAAATCTTCCCTCGTTTGGAGGATACTGATCTCACTGCGGCTGAGCAGCTGCGTATGGCTTTGAACAAAGCAGAAGCCTTGGAATGTCTTCCTGCTGTCTGCAAGGACCTGCACTCCACAAAGGAATAGTTCAATTCCATTTGGAGTATAGGTAGGCTCGGCTTTCAGGAAATAATAGAGCACTGTTGATTAGTCGTGAACTAGAACAAATAAGCCACAAGAGGGCATATTTTTCTTGGTCTCATCACCTTTATACAAATAAGGCTTGCCTCCACTAAGTATCATAGGAATTTACCCCCTACTTTCCTAAAAGAATACACTGCTTCTAAACTATTCTATAAAAGAAAAGTAGTGGTGATTTTTTTTTCAAAAAGCATTAAGAAAAGCAAGCTTAAAAATGGTATTTTTCCGTATAGTTTTCCATAGGCCTGAAAGGGCTGCATGCTCATGGAAAAAGGGAATTAACAGATAATGGAATTTTCCCAGGAACTTTTTTGAAGCCCCCTCTTATGGATGCATAGGAAAGTTTACATTTCCTTGAAATTCCTATTTGGAGGTTGTTTGTTGATATAAATGCATTGTTAAAAATCAAAAACAAAGAGCCTTTAAGTTAACCCCAGTCTGCAGTAGCTGTGTGGGCTCCTATATCAGGCGTGGAAAACCTTTTCAACCGCTGGGGAGTATTCATAGTCAAGGAGGTTTTTCTTTTCTGAGGTTTAGGACTTTGGCCAAAGGGACTGGGCTATGTTTTTATTTTTATTTTGAAGTGCATTCCTGTAGAATTTAATTATTCACCACACCCTGACCCAGCTAAGCAAATATAACCTTTAAGATTCTGGCTTAGAAAGGTTTTGAAAATGGCTTTTTAAAAAAAGGAAAGAAAGAAAGGGGTCGAGAGCAGCAGGGACTCCAGGGCAGAATTTAGAAGGAGCTGGTAACCACGCCACCATCTCTGGCCCCAGTGTTCTCGGGCATCCCACAGGTTAGAAGTTTATGACGTCTCGCCTCACTGATCATGCTTACTATCATTTATGACATTACACGAGTTTACGCTGAAAGGCGTGACGCAAAGGTCAGAGAGTTTCAGATTCCAGTTATCTAAGCATATGCTATCTTTTGCCTGGTGATGAGATGCGGCGGCACATTTGCTATGGAGGGACCTTTGTGAGCATAATTAATATTGAAATGAAAAGATATTGGTCAGGTATGTTCTTGCCTACTACTAAAGTTATCTTACAATCTTACTATCTAAATTTCTAATGATCCAGTGATGACTAGATTTCCATAATCAAATAAGACAGGTAGGGGAAAAATTGTCTTAAGTTTATTAGGGAAAATACCTGCTAGGAGATTAGGAGCTAGGTGAACTGGTTTCAATTCATGCCATCACTTGTTCCAATTAAACATAAACTAACATATGCCTCAATTTCTCATCTAAGGAGAGCAGCATTTATTATCTGTCAGCACTAACATGTTAATATGTGATGACATGAGTAATGTCAGATTGATAATGAGGAAGGGGGGGGTGTTGTGAAGTATGACTAATCTAGAGTTCACTTTTAATTTTACAGCAGTGAGCACTGATTGGCTTATTTTTAACCTCCATTTCCCTTATTTGTTTCTGTACGTCGAGCCCAATAGTCTCTTTGATCTTCATTTTTTCTTTTAATCACGATTTCCATTTGTCTTCTGATTAGAAGACTTCAGAAAGAGAAGTAGGGTTATGGATTTTGTTTGGAAAGAACTACAGGCTAGTTAGTACTCTGTGCTGAGAATGTCCTTCTCTCCTCCAAGATCCTGCTAGATTTAAAGTCTGTACCCAGTGATTATGGGTCTCCTGCCTTGTGTGCAGAGGGGGAGCTGGAGAAGCCCAGGGTATGCTTATTCTACCCTCACCCACCTCTGCCTCTCCTGCCCTGTGGGTGCCAACACAGACGTAGGATTCTTGAAATTCTACAGTTAGAAGTTTATTTTCTAGAGTAATTCAGTATTAAAATGTAATCCTTTGATAAATGCATGCCAACGAGTCCATAGTGAGTATGATGTGCCAGCCTCTAGTTGGGACTGAGATTGGGGGAGGGGGAGGGGGAGGGATGAGGCGTGTGTAATAAAGGAAGAACATGGGCTCGGAAGACACCGTTTCCTTGTTCAATACACGGATCTCTTCAGAGTAACTGAGGAGCACTTGTTGGATCAGAATAGAAAGCCTTAGAGACAACTACATTGTACCGTCTAGTAAAACCTAATGTCATGTTTTCCCCCCACCCCCACCCCACCACCATTTGATTTTACAGAAAAGATTATACCTGGATGGCAGCTTATGCAGATTGCATTTGGTGACATGTGAAGTTCAGGCTCCTAGAAAGGGTTATTAAAAACATTCTAGTAGGATTTTATATATTAAATAGAATTTAAGAAATAAATTCAATGATTATTTATCATCATCACCATATCCACTTTCTTTTTGATAAGTAACTCATTTAACACAAACATATTTGTTAAACACCTACCACATACAAGACACTTGTGGAAACACCCTGAGGATTGCAAAGCCATGGACACAGCTGAAGCCATTAATCTCAAGTCTGTGCTGTGCAGCTGATTCTGCATGCTGCGTGCTCACAGTAATTACAAGGAAGGAAAGCACAGAACCCGGGTTCCAGATGTTGTCTTCTCATGGTACGTACAGGATGCCCTAAGAAATGTGGTCCATGTTTGAAGTCAAGGCACTTCAAACTAAATCAGTTCAATCCAAATCCATAGGCATTGTTTTAGGGACTGGAGAAACAAAGAAACAAAAGAGCCAGTTCTTTTGTTTGGGCTGTTGACACATGCACAACTAATTATAATACAACATAAAACGCTTTTATAATAGTAGTGAAATCAAAGTGCTTTGGGAAAACAGGAGGGAGTGATTAATTCTGTGGGAGCTTAGTGGAAAGAGCTGAAATGGTAGCACAGGGGAGGTGTTGTTTGGTTTCAAGATATTAAGCTGGGGTTTAGACAGGAGGGGAAAAGGGAAATCCAGCATTAGCTACAATTCTAGATAAACCTAATATGCTGGCTAGTAGTCTGACAAAACTATTAAAAAACAATAAAGAGGGAACTGAAAAATATTAAAACTGCTTATTGTGAATCTACCACAAAGCGCAAGGCACTGAATCAATTCTCTGGGTGATACACAAAGATACTGTGTCATGAAGATGAGCTTGTAGTTTGCTTGTAGGGAAAAGACATGCAATTAGACTCTTAGTTCTGTGGCCCTCAGCTCTGCTGCTGAAGGGAAATTTAATGTAGGACACCTCCCTCTCAGTTTTCCCCATCTTGCTCACCACTAGGAAATCCAGACACTTCTTGCTATTAATGAAGGAACTCTGGAACCTTCCGTGGCTGTGCTCAGAAATCAAGCAAATGAAGGGATGTGAGGCTGTTGTCATTCTAGATGATTCTATTACAAGCCGGCACTATGCTTGAGACTCTGGGCCAGGGATGAGAGTAGACCTTGAGACCCGGTCACAGGAGTATGTCATTAAACTAACAAGGCCTCAGCCTTAGGGACCAACATTCCCACAAACCCTCTCCATGTCCCTGACAGTGACCCTACAAGGGGTTCACATACCCACGTGATTTTGTGAGATCTATAAAAGGATCTATATGTATTCCTCCCCCCAAAGAGAATCTCACCTCCAAATTGTGTAAATTCCAGACTTCAAATAACCCGGCTCTGCCAGGTATCCATAAAGGTCTTACTGTGGGAACAAGGTGTGCACACATCTACCAAAGAAATTCCCGAAGCACGGGGGCCTGTGGTTGTCTTTCTGTGGCGCTGGCCTTTTAATGGAGGGCCATCCATCCCTCAGGCCCATTTGTGCTCTTCCAAGGCCACTAACTGGGGAGAATGAGCTGCAGTTTGACAGAGAAGAGCGCAGGTACTCAGGTCGGTCCCCCAAATCAAACTCACTGCCATTGAGTCAGGAACAGAACACCTACCCCATCTGTCTCCCGAGGAGGCCGGCTGTCCCACTCTTAACCCATTAAGCCACCAAAGCTGTTGGTACTCTGTTTCAAGGTTAGAATATTTAGGAGGATGCTTGTGGTCAAACCCTAATCTCACACCTCCTGTCCTCTGCTTGCCCTCACTAGTCCTTTGAGACTTTATGGAATCAGCATGAGCAGGGCATGGACACATCTCCAAATCACAGAGGCTGCTTTATGGACAGGGTGCCCCGTTGGGTGAAAATCCAGCCCTGCGGGCGGCCTCCGGGCTGGACGTCTGCGCTCTCCCAGGGCTGGCGAGCTCCACACAAAGGGGGGCCGGAGGCAGGGGGGAGGAGATCGGAAGGGAGAGGTAATCCCCGGTGTTTTGCGCATCCCCTTTTTAGAAAGGCCGAGTCTCTCCCCGGACAGCTGCTGCGGTCACACCACAAACTTAAAAGCCGCCCTCCCGCCCGGAGCGTGCCTGTCCTCTGCATCCTCGCCTCCCTGAGCTCCAGCTGGTGCCCGCCCGCCGCCCGCAGCGCCCCCTGTCTCCCGGCCCGGCCTCTGCGGCCACGCAGCGCGCTCCGCCCGGGCCGCCCGCGGCTCCAGGCTCGCAGCTCCTGGCTCCGCCAGCGCGGTGGCTCCGAGCAGCGCGCGCAGGGGCCCCGGCCGGACGCGTCTCCCTCGCCCGCGCGCGCTTCCGCTGCCTCTCCCCGGGAAAGGAAGGGCCTTTGGGAAAGAGAACGGGAGAGAAGAGTGCGGCGACCGTCAGGTTGGTGTCGGGTCACCTGCTAGTCCATTGGGTGGGCGCGCTGGGGACCTTTGGGTGCGAGCAGGAAGGGGCCAACTTCTTGGTGGCTCCCGGTTCCAAGCGAGGGGATGGAGGGACACGGAGCTAGGGAGGTGTCACGCTTGGGACCGAAAAGGCGCTCCGAAGCCAACGCGGAGCCGACTGGCCGCGGGCGCGGCGCCGGGGACAGCAGTCGGAACGCCCTGCCACCAGCGCCGGCTAGCAAAGCGCCAAGTTTCCTTCCCGAGACGCACCCGGGAACGTCGCCCGCTCTCCCTCTCCGTCCCCTCTCGGAGCGCCCGCACAGGCACCAGCGTCGTCTGCGGGCCGCGCTTCCGGTGGAGCCCGGCGGGAGACCACCGTCCGGGGGCAGCGCCAGACCGTGGGCTTCGGTGCCCTCGCCCGCCGCGTTGGGCGTAGCGCTGGGGGCAGGGGGAGCAGCGCGGTGGTGGTGTGTGCCCTAGAGCGGCGGATGGGTGGGATGGTAATGGTAGGCAGGGGTGGGCGATGCTTTTCTCCCTGCCAGGGTCCAGGGACGCCGGGTTGGAAGTGCGCTTCCTGCCAGACCCAGAGGTGCCCAAGGTGAAGTTGGAAATAGACACAAGCTCCCAAACGCGCTGTCAGCGGAGCCGGGGATCCCTCCTTACGCCTCGGTTTGCCAGTTCTGGAAGGATCCAGATTTTACTCCAGTGGAGAACCTAATCCGAAATGCATCCCGGCTCCCCTACCCCCCTTTTTCCTGGCACCCGGGAGTGGGCGCAGCACTGGGCTGGAGGCTCGGGCAGTGCCTGGGTGGCTTCTGGAGCTGGCCGGCTTTCCTTCTGGACCACTGGGTGCAACCGAAACCCCGCCAGCTGAGCGGCCTCACTCCCTTCCCAGCGCTCTGGAGGGGACCTGATGGAGGGAGGGGAAGCGGCAGAGGAGTGGGGAACCTGGGGTCCCGCGGACCCCTGAAATTCCAGGTGGTAGGGTAAGGGTTAAGTAGAGGAACTTTTCTCCATTGAACTCTGAATGACGCAGTAAGAAGCTATTGCCCCAGGACAGTTTCCCCTTTGCCCACCAAGACTCCCAAACCTCTAAAGCCAAATCATGGCCATGGAGTGGATTCTGATTCTGATGCATAGTGACCCCCCTAGTGCAGGGTAGAGTCCTCCCTGTGGGTTTGGGAGACTGTAGTTCTTTACTGGAGCAGACAGCCTCATCTTTCTACCCCCATTCCCTCTTGTCAGTGCGTTCAAAAAGTAAAAGTTCAGCCAGAAAAGGTTTCTCTGTCTCATTGTGCGTGTGTGTGTGTGTGTGTGTGTGTGTGTGTGTGTGTGTGTGTGTGAGAGAGAGAGAGAGAGAGAGAGAGAGAGAGAGGGGCTTGGAGCGGGGTAGCGAGGTGGGGGTGGATTTCCTAATAGAGAGGAATGGGGAGTGGGGGCAGGTAGAAGAGACAGGACCAGACCCCTCCCAGGTCAGAGCTTGCTACTATTTCGTAGCCATGGCAACCGGGAGGGCAGGAATGGTCAGAGCCGCCCGGGTTCCGCACGTTGTAAGAAAAATGTGAAGGGCGGGGAAGGGAGAGCGCCACATGTCATCACTCCAGCGATTCCTTTGCTTCTCCGCTCCTTCTCTGAGCAAGGGGTGAGGAGGACTGACTGGAAGGGTCAGGATGGGAGTAGGCAGCCGCAGTCACGAGTCCTTTAACCCTCTCCGCCTCAGCAGCTTGGAGGCTCACCCCAGCTGTTAGTGTTAGCTGAGGGCCACATCCTTGACAAGTTGCAAAGTGAGGGCACTGGTCCTGGAGATGGGAAAAGACCTTGGCCCTTGGGAGGGAAAGGCCAGGAAATACAGTCTGATGATGTGGACGAGATAAGAGAAGGGTCAGGAGGGAGCAGAGAGACAGTGAAACCATACTGAGTTAGACTGCCAACGTTTCAAATGGAATTTGCCGATTTATGAAATGGAAAATTGTTGTGCCTCAGCCACTTTGTACATTCACAAATACTAGTGAAGTATCGTCCCTCCTTCTACCTCCACCCCCCCCCCACCTTTCAAAGTAAAACAAAAGAAACTGTTAGAAATGGGTGGTGTACTAGTTCTGTGATCCTAATAAAATGATAATTTCTTTAAAAAATCACGTTGATAGGAAAGTCAGAAAGTTAAGTATCATTGACATTCCTTGAGATGAAAATATTTATATGCCAGATATTTCATTGATATGTCCAAATACAAGCTTGCAGGGGGCAGGCCTGAGGATGGGATTCTTTTAAATGGAAGTGAGTTCCTTTTTCTAAGGATGCCACTTACAGGGGTCCCTTTTTGTTTAAAGTCCTGATATGGTTATCATTTGTACGTAAGTACGACCTATCCTTATTACAGGTCTTACTATGTTTTATGGGACTTATTAATGATCTAAATAGCATGGAAAGAAAAACACACTTCAACAAAAAGAAACAATTTTCCAAAAAGCAAACCATGGCGGTGTTGAGAAACTTTTCCTAATGAAGCTTTCTTCAGTCTGCTTGCCACCACGAATTCATACAAAGGTCATCCTTTGCTGCCCCTGGCTCACAGTTGTAAGAATGCATCCCACTCGCTGAGAAAGAGCCATCATTTCATTGCTGTGCCCTTCTGGCTGACTCTCCTGGAGGGGAGAGCAAGGAAACCAGTTTGGCAGGGCAAAATGTTCTGAAATTATCAGGAAACTTTAATCAGCAGGAGCAGTAGCTCAGTAAATGCTAGAGAAGTATTGTACCTTTTTCTTGTCTTCTACACCACTCGCTTTTATAATTAAGCCTTAGCTACTTTATTTGTATTATAATAATTCTCAGCTGGAAAGAGCACACAGAAAAACAGAGTTTTAAATGTGAATTTTGTGTATAGGGAGGGTTAGTATGGGTGAGACTGGAAATTCTTTTTGGGGACAGATAGGGTCAGGGATATGAACTATTGCAGGGCTGAGGAAGTACATCAGTGATATGATAACAGATTAGACAATGAGTTTGAAACGGAATCACCAGACTGTCACATCTTTTCCTCACATAGGAAGGATATTGTTTTGGGTTGGAATCAAATTGGGACAGCAGAGAGTTTCATACTGCCTAGTTATTATTCTTCAGAATTTATGTTCTCATTCCATTACAGAGGCATTTGTTAGCTATCAAGTGTTTTACTGCACACAGGAAGGTATCTCTGAAGGGATCTCTATAGCCTGGTGTTTGTGAAGACATAGTGGATCTGGTCTAGTGCCTTTAGGCTAGAGAAATGCTTAGTAAGATAAACTTGGAATATAAACATTTAATTTTAAGGCAAAATAGTTCCAATGCCTCATTAGAGATGCAATTCTCATTTAATGATTATTTAATGATGAATGAGTCTTCTCATTTAATGATTAACAGACAATGCCTTCAGATTGTTTGTTAGAGCTTCCCTTTTTTAGTGGGTGGGTGGAGGGTGGTGGGTGAGGGGAATTCCTGATTCTGAACTTGATCATTCTATCTGGAAGGCATAATGCTGTAATGGTATATGCTATTTGGGGGAAATGTCTTTGTAAATAACTAATATCTTCTATAAAACAAAGTAACTATGGCTCTATTTTGGAAATTTATTATTTCTATAAACAGCTGAAATTATCTGGATTACTCAAATAAAATGACAAGCATTTCAATACTTGATTACATAATCCTTGAAAGGAAAAACAAAAAAATATGTCAATGTGTAGAAAAGAGCTCCTGAAAGTTCATAGGAAAATTTGATAAAGAAATAATAGATTTTTTTGCAGGAACTTTCAGAACTACTCCTCATACATCTTTATTTATTTAGATAACCATAATACAATACAATATGAACTCACAATGTAGACCCAGCAATGGGTCAATATATAATTGAAGCCACCTTTAACTAATTATAACTGAGCAGATTTAAAGCACACTGATCATGACAATAGAGTAATGATGTTCTGTCTTAGGCTTCATTCTGTGAGAAAGTTAAGTCAGTGACGTACATGTGTGTACGTGTGTGTATTCGAATCTCTAAGACTTTTCTCCACCAAATTCTGCTCTCTTCAGTTCATATCCTATCAGAGATAGTTTTGGCATCTTCAAGACCTCAAATAGTGTTGTTTTGAAATGTTTTTTGAGTTTTAGGAACAACAGAAATCTGAAGGGGCAAGATTAGATCTCTCCCTTGTAAGGGATAAGGTTTTCTGATGAAAATCTCATAGTTCAGCCCTGGCTCCCTTTAAAGTAAGTGCATTGTCATGATGAGAGAAAAACAACTTAGTGCAACTTTATGGCCCCCCCTTCACCCCAAGCCCCACTAATGCAATTTTCAATTTTCTTAAAACTTCTTCACATTAAGTTCTCATGACTGTTCTGCGTCCTGCCAATAGTCTATCAAGATTGCTCACTTGGACTAACAGGAGCCTCCGTGGTGTAGGTTAAGTGTTGGACTTGGATCCGCATGGTGGGAGTTTGAAACCAGCAGCAGCTCCGTGTCAGAAAGACTGGGCTTTCAACTTCCCGAAACAGTTTCAGTCTTGGCGGTCACTGTGAGTTAGCATCGATTAGGTAGGAGTGAGGTTTCTTTTGAGCAATATGAGTAAGACAGCAGTATTGGGAGAACTTGTCTACAGCATCCATTGATTGTAAAGACCTTGTTAAATACACTTTTATTTTAGAACAAAGTCATGTATATATGACGTAAACCCAGTAGTAACACTCTTTGACTTACCTTCATGTACATGTTTTATACAGGCATGTATGAGATAGTGAGTGAGTGAGTGAGTGGGTGAATTACATGGTGACAGCTTTTCTTAACTTATGAGGTTGCAGTGGCTGGTGAAGACACAATTTGTAGGTCTGATGATAGGTTGTTGGCTCATGGAAATGCAGGTGTTGATGAATACTAAAAGCAGCAGCCCAGACAATAGGCTCAAGGTCCAAGAATTAGAGGTCGGACAATGATGAACAGAATATAGAATCCAGACCAAAGGAAAA